TTCATCAAGCTCGGTCAATCCAATTAGAAAAGTAACCGGAATTTTACCTATTTTGAATATTACTCCCTCCGTCCCTAAATGTTGTTCCAATTGCGGATTACGAAGGTTGACCGACGATACAGTTAAATGATCCCTGTGAAAACTCAGATTATTTTTAGTAAATAAAATTTACATATTCAGAAACTACATTAAACCCGCTACAAAGCCTGCAAAAAATAATTCAACTTTTATAAAATTTTGATATAAAAAGTAAGAGTTTAAGAGTGATTTAAGTTGACCCTCGATAAGCGAAATGAAACTTCTTTTAGGGACAGAGGGAGTACATGTTTTAGTATTCGAAACAAAAAATTACGATTTGGTAAAAAAGTTTGGAGCTTTACTATATCATCACAATAACATTTAGGATTTTCCCCATTGCTTGGTAAAATTTATTTCAATTTCGCTCGAATGAAACGACATATTTATATTGCTCAAACAAAGATTTGTCACAATAAAATCTATGCCAAATTTGAGACAAAACATTCCAACCTACGGCTTCCCGCAACCCAAAGGTGAATAAGCTAATTTTGAGCTTTTCACCTCAAAAATCACCGTAACCCATATATTTGGGGGTAACAAAGTGGGATTGGGATCCTCTACCCGACTAGGAGGGTGTCTTGCGCATCGGACGGGTGGGGAGCGACCAACACGGCCTCGAGATTGGCGAAAAAGTGGAGCCCAAGATCTCCGACCGTTGAATTATCGATCGGACGACCGGGAGGAAGCAAAGCACTCTACCTTACTCTAAAGTAAGGTAGAGGCTCCCGATCCAACAAAGTGGGTGCATGGCACTCCACGGTGGGAATGGGTAGGCATATTCATTGGCCATTTGCTGCATGTTAGAAAAAGAATGGACAAGGTGAAACTGCCATGTGATGTGGCGAAATGTAAGGTCATGAAAAATTAAAATCAATTTTTTTTATTTAAATTGTTATAACTATTTCATTTGTATTCCAATTTTTATAAAAAATATATATTAAAATTTATAACATTTTATGATTTTTCATATCACATCAATATTGCATATAAAAAATATAAAGAAAAATATATGAAAATTCAACCGCCAAAGGTTTTCACACCCGAACTTTTTCTTAAATAGATTGAAATGCTAAAATTAAGAGTTCATCATCAAAGTATTCTTTTTTACTTCTTTAAGTTATTTTTTCAAAAATGATTCTGAAATAACAAAAAAATCAACTTATTTATTTTTACATTAAAATGTTTGACTTTTTTAGATCATTATTATTCCAGGAAAAAAAAGGAAAAAGTTGATATACATTGTAAAAGTAAGGTTTAATTAAAAATGTTTATTGGGTGAATATATTGACTTTGGATTGGAGTAAAAATTGAATTAACTTAGTGAATATGCATAAACCGGTAGAAAATTTGATTTATTGACAGGTTATGGATTGTGGTTAGTCTAATACTTCATACATGTACCTTATTTTTAACGGATAATTTTGTGCCTACCCTGTCCTAAAGCTTTTGGCACGGAATATTTAGTGTCAAAAGGACGGTGCTAATTGAACCATTTCTGAACTAATCATCTCAGAGTCCCTACTCGACCCCCAACCGCTCAGGTGATGTTCCGATTTAAATTTGTATGACGATTCATTTGAGCATATTTGTATAATTATGTTTGTATAATCATATAGCGGTATGATAAGTGAGTTAATCAATTCTTTTTACTGTTAATACTTTTATAAAATAATATAATAAGAATATTTTGGGTACAAAGTTTATGCCCATTAAGCGGAGAAAATCCTAAAAAAATTAGGACCCAATCTTGCAAGAACCGACTAAAAAGGTAAGCTAACTATCATACTTGAAACTAGGGTTGTAAACGAATCGAATCGAGTCGAATATTGTGATTTTTTATTTGTATTTGTTTAATTTTTCCGAATACGAATCCGAATTCGAATATCAAACGAATTTTATTTTCGATTTGTATTTGTATTTGTTTAACCATACGAATATTTAACGAATCATATACGAATATCGAATCGATTTGATCATAAGTTAAATATTAGTCAAATATCACTTTAAAACAACTTTTCCATATCTTTTATGTTATGAATGCATGCTATGGTTTAAAATTTAATGGATCGGTGCATTTTTAGGTTGTGCACAATGTACTAAAGTGAACTTTGTAACATTACATTTTTCTTTATGAATCGAAATCGCAAATTGAAATAAAATTATTTGTTTTGTTTATAAGCCTCATGATACTTCTGTTTATAGGCTGCACTTTGAAGGTATAGCTAGCTTTTAAAAGTTATTATAGTGTATTATTACTACTACTATTACTATTAATATTATCACTATTATTAATCGAATATATTTGATTAACATTCGAATCGAATATACTGATATTCGTATTTGTATTTGATAACAATTCGAATCATTCTTAGTATTCGTATTTGTTTTTGTATTTGAATTTTTCGAATTCGAATCGCCTTATACGAATACGAATCCCGAATCGAGCAAAAATTATTTGATTCGTATATCACCCTACTTGAAACCCTTACATCATTGACTACTTTTTCTGTAGTATTTCTGTCTAAACTACAATTTTTTTAAAAAAAAAAAAACTGTTTCTAATATAAACAGTTATGTACCCAATACAATTTCAAATATACAATTTTAAAATCGCTTCATATTAAACTGAAAATGGGTGCCAAGCTGTTTGCTCCTTAACGGGTTACTATAGAAGGGAGCATAATGGCGCCATGGAAGAGGCAGCTCATATCATCGAATTCCAGGTAAGTTTGATTCGCACCTTGAAGCTCATAAGATAGAGATATCCGGACATCCCTCCTTTCAAACCGAGTCTGAGAAGCTCCTAGTCACAGCTCGGTATAAAGAAATGCCTTGTAGTATATGTACGAGGGGTGACCGAAGCTTGAGGTCATGGCAGGGTCGGTCCTGTCCAGTTTTGGGCCTATGGGCGATATACCATTCTGGCCTTATTTCCAGGACAAAAAGTAAATTATACTTACTTAAAGTAAAATAATGGAGTATAATAAAATTAGGAGAAATTACTCTAAATACGACTAAAACGTTTGTATATTCCAAACTAAGATTATCATATTTTTATTATCTAAATAGAAGTAATTATTGTCATACAGTGTCATATTTTACATGTGGTAGTATTTTCCGAACATGACAACAATTACTCTTATTCAGAAAATAAACACATGGCAGTCCTATTTTGGAATTCTCAGAAAAATTTACTCCTATTTCAGAAATTCTCCCTACAACTATCTAATAAAGGTTATAAAACAAAGATGAAATTCACCTTCATATTATTTGAATTGCATATTTGGACAAAAGTAACAATACAAGTATTACAAAAGAACATTGTGAAGTAAAATCTCAATAATTGTTTTATAATCAATCTTTTCCAAGATCACATGTGCAATGTTTAAAATTGCTAATCCGTTAAGTTTTTAGAGGCATAAAAGATAATCGAGATGATGTTTGAGTATTGGGAGGCACTGACAGCCCAAAGACAATAATATAAATTGGTAATTTTGTAATTAAAAGAATAAAAAATCTTAAAAGCTAAAAAGATGTAAAGACACATGCTTTTATTGATTCAACAACAAATGTGTTGACTTACAACCAGGTCTACTTAAAAATCAAAACTAAATTTATATTCTTTCTAAAAACTTGTCTAGCTCTGTTAAAGACTTTTTACTTATATTTTAAGATTCTCAAATTGTCAACAAAAATTACACATTAGACCTAATTAATTAATTGAAATTATAAATAAAAAAAGAAGCCTACTCAGGTTACATATAAAGAAAAAAATTGGGCCTAATTTTCTTTCTACTTTTTTTCGGGCCTAGGGCAGTCGCCCTTGCTGCCCTCCCCCTAGAACCGGCCCTGGGTCATGGTCAAGAGGCTGAAAATATAAGCTTGGTAGGCCATGCAGAGCAAGGGGGAGTCTACCCGGAAGGTTGCTGCAGCGAATGCAATGAAGGCCGTCTTCAAAATAGACAAGTCACAAGTCCTTACTCCCAACCGACATTGTTGCATAACTTGCAAGAAAAAATGACCAGAGTAAAAGATGCATGAAAAAGAAGTGACAAGAAATGTCAAAATGCTATGGTCTGTAACTAACATCCAGTTTGAGCACTAGAGGAGGCCAATTCAACAAATAAAAGAATGGTTGATAGAACTGGATGAGGCAATATGGAGTACTAATCCGGTCTTGTTAATTGAATTGATAATGGTGGTGCTGTATCGGTGCTGTACTAGTGAAAGATTGGTAAGGGAGAATACGAGAGCAATTTTGATAATGTGTGGGACTGTAATTAACTATAGATACAAAAACTGTCAAGATAATGACTATTACAATTGTGTATCAATCAAACTAGGCAATTGATTCTATACTTATTGTTGATTGTTGATTGACTGGTTTTCTATGAATTGAGAAGAGCATATCACTGCTTCCCTGCAACAGTTCACTATTTAGCAGCAGCACAACTTTATAATTCAACTGGATTTTAATTTTAATTCAAAAGAAAACATTGAAAACTGCTTTAATGATCCTGTATTGCAATGCCACTTTGAACCAACATCCAGTTCAGAGCATGTTTGTAAAATACATTGAAATGTACGCAGGAACAGGAGTGGATCAACCCCCCAGGTTCCATATCCGAATCAGACCAGAACTGGTCGAAATTCCAATCAGGAACAGGTACCATGATAAGTAAAAATACATTCCAGTTACTCAGAAAAAATCCCAGATTCATCCGTTTCCAGTCCTCATTTAACATTAATAATGCGGTTCTAACTGGATCCAGAACATTTGGTTAGAGCAAAGTGGAAATCGATCAATCGAATCAGTTAAAATCAGTTCCCAGTTAAGGTTGTTGTGATTGGGGACCACACCACCTTGTTTGCAACCAAAACTGGACTGCGTCATCCCCTACTCAGGATTGACATTGGGATTCTGGGAAAAAGCTGTGTTCAGCTCTCTAGCTGTAAAACAACTTCATGTATATATTTTATAAAGGAATTTATTTGAAAAATAAAGTTGACATAAAAAACAAAAAATCAGAGAGCCCCATTATGCACTAAGAGTATTACATTACATAAACGCAAAACATTAACTTATGCAAGCTGGTGCGCCATAAAAAAGACAACAGGCATGAATGTGTCCGATCATCTTTTTGACACAGTTGCTTCATCACATCTCATCAATTTGAAATAATTCCTTCACACTACTTTATGACAGCTTGCCAGACAATGAAATAAGCTGCAAAAAGAGGAAGAGTAGATTATTAGTTTTGGATTTGTTATGCATTGTGCACGAACCCTTGTCATAGTATGCATTGCTACGTTAGTTTGGAATAAGGCGACTCTCATTGATACAAAGATTGCAATTTTCTATACAGAGAAATAGTGGAGCTAAACCTAATGAGAATGAGGCTGTATTTCGATACTAATCTATATTTTAATCTCTTTCTAGATTTCAAAAATTATGACCTTACTATAAATGATTGATTTTCCATCATATGGTAAGTGACAATTTATCACCTACCTGGTTAGCAATCTGCACCAGCTGTCTGTTTTTCCTCGGTGAATCATCACCAATCACACTAGAATCCTGCTGTGTCACATGAGTATATAGTTTCTCTCCAGAAGAGTTTTCTTTTGGATTGGTTAAAGAATCCTTCTTTCTCTTCCTAAAGAATGTGTACTTGAGTTGCCCCTCTGCATTGGCTTGATCTGAAGTCATATAGCTTCTTTGAGATGCCTTCTCAGATTCATTGTCAGTTACATCTGGTTCTGTGTCCAACTTGTGCACATGATCCTTAACCCCAGGAACAGTATTTGATTCCATATAGTCTTCACTGGACTTGACATTGCACTTGACTAGTCTGGGCATTCTACATGGCCGGGAATGTTTTCTTGACTGATTAGAGTGATAGTCATCAGACCTCCACACAGAAGCATTAACATCCCAGTACTTGATTTTTCTCTTCCTGGCGCTTCTGCGAACCAGGAAAGACTGACCATTGTTTTTCTGCACTTTTTCTCCGTGATGACTTTTTCTTTTAGTTTCTCCGTGGAAACTTGCTGGCCTGTTCTTCTTAACACTCCCTTGAATCAGCCCAACTCCAGCCTGATCTAAATGATTCTCAGTGTTCTTTGTTTCACCACATTCTCTGACTGGTTTAATATTTACAGCAAAGCATGGATCATCTTCGGTGTTCAAGTTCACGTCTGGTGAGCTCATCTCCACTGCACAAATCCTTTGGGTGAAAGGACTTCGGTACATCACAGCCTCTTTGCATTTCATCACCATAGAGCTTAAAACAGGATCATCCTTGACATTCTTCTTCTTCGTTTTATTCTTCTCCTTCTTTGTTTCATCAAATTCCTCCCTTACGGTGTTAAGTTCTTCTCTGAGCTCTAATACCAGACCTTCAGCTTCATTGAGCTGAGCTTCTAGCTCATCAATCCTTCTTTGCTGATTCATGGCCGAAGTTTCAGCCTCGTTTACCTGGGAATAATGTCATCCAGCTGATTAAACACACTACCAATCACTCAAGCATCCAATACAAAACGGATCATATACTAACTCAAATAAAGAATAGTCAGCTTGGTATCAAGAATCAGCGTTTGAACTTGTAGCATAAATCAGTCTTTTTCATACTATGAACAATCAAAATCAAATAAAAACATGACAAGGAAATTCTACTGTCAATACATGACTACATTGGTCAATGGGAATGGGGGCATTTTGAAAATCATAATGAATCAATGAAGAAAACACGAAAAAACCTTAGCATCTGCCATGAGTTTCAATCGGAGGAGCAATCGAATTGACTCGTCCTTGGTGGATTGGAGATCCTTCTCCAAGCGACGAGCTTTTTGCTCCGATCCCATCACTCGGGCTGCTGCCTCCTTCACAGTGTTCAGAATGACCTCCGCGTATGCCGCTTTCAATGCCTCCTCCATTCTCTACAGGTATTCAAATCGTTAAGTACAGATCAAACACATATGAAGGTGCGACGGATTCAGGATTTTACTTCGGTATCATCCACGGCGGATTGGCGGTTGGCGTTAGGAAATGAAAGAGGCGGGGAACCAAGGCCCGGTTGGATGCGCGAGCGAGCCTCTCACGAAATGAGTCAAACGACACGATATATGGCAGTACGACGTTGCTTAAGGTGGGGCATATTGGTTTTGGAAGGGATTGAGAAAACAAAAATTCCTTTTGTACACGTTTTTGTACCCATCAGTACACGCATGTGTCTGTGAGAGTTTTTTTTTGTCTGTGAAGTGCGGTCCACAGACAAAATGATACGCCACAGCCTCGACGCAGCACACGAGAACGGCTACCAAACTCCCGGTTTTTGAACTCGAACATCTACGTCAACTGCCTACACGCATGGATGGACAAAACTGGGAGCTACTGACGTGGAAGATCAGAATAATGTTTTATTAAATCACTACTTCTTTATTAATTTCATTATTATTCCTTATCCGTTTTTTTAGCATTAGTTGGGTAGCTTCCTATTTCCTTGGCAGTAAGTGAGTGGGTGGTTACACCCCACTACACCCATTACTTTTCCCATTTGTATTGTATTAAAACGGGAGCTCTGCTCCTGCAGAAGGCATGAAATGAGCATTACTCTTCTAGCCATCTTCTCCGAGCTCTTCTATCTGTGTTCTTCTTTTTCTTTTAGATTCCTGGGTATCAATTGGTATCAGAGCCCATGGCTACCCGCAACCTATCCAACACCGAATTTCGAAATGAAACCTCTGAAGCCCTAGCTCGACATGAATCCCAATTCGACCAAATCAACCAGCGCCTGGACCGATGGGAGGCAAGGTTCGAACAGTTTACTCGCACCTTAGGAGAGAAGCTGTCAACGTCCGATGAGGACAACCCCTTTGCCGACGAGGACACATCGACACACCCGGTCCATACTCACCGGGCTTATGACCCCAAGATATTTTTCCCAAAGTTTGGTGGAGGAGATCCTACTGGATGGATTTATCAGTCCGAACAATACTTTGAGTATTATCACATCGTTGCTGAGCACCGCTTGCGCCTCGCTGCCATTAACCTGGAAGGCTTAGCATTACAATGGTATCGTTGGTTCATAAAGCGGAGGGGACCAGTGAGGTGGAAGGAGTTCACCCGCGCCCTTCGAGTCCGGTTTGGGCCGACAGAATTCGAAGATCCGTCGGAGGCCCTATCTCGCCTCCGGCAAATCACCACAGTGGCCGCCTATCAAGAAGCCTTTGAGCAGCTTTCAAATCAGGTGGATGACCTCCCAGAAAATTTTTTAACATGAAGTTTCATTGGGGGATTACGGGATGACATTCGACTGGAGGTTAAAACTAGGAAGCCACGAATGCTGGAGGAAGCTTTTGGACTTGCCCATTTGGTAGAAGAAAAACTACTTGTAAGCAAGTCGGGACTTTGGCGGTCTAGCAGCAGCAAACCGTTCCAACCGTCTGCCACCGTACGGCCTAATACATCGGCCGGCATACTAGGCCCTCCTCCGAACAGTGATGATAAGAAACCGGTTGCACCTATCAAGAGGCTGCCTTGGGAAGAGATGCAACGTAGAAGGTCCCTTGGTCTATGTTTCGCTTGCAACGAACCATTCACGGCAGGACATCATTGTCAACAACCCAAGCTCCTATTACTTGAAACTGAAGACATCGAGAGGGAGGATGAACCCTCCTCGCAGCCCAATGACAATGTTCAGGAACCAGAGATCACACTAAACGCCTTAACGGGATGGTCTGGACCACGAACCCTCCGTCTTCGTGCAACCATAGCCGGGAGACCACTGCTTCTTCTAGTGGATAGCGGATCCACACATAACTTCATCCAGGATAAACTGGCCCAAGCAATGCAGTTACCCATGACACACTCGACTGACTTTAACGTCCGAATAGCAAATGGGGAACCTCTTCGTAGCAAAGGAAGGTTCGACCAGGTTCCGGTAGATATACAAGGCAATACTTTTCAAGTTTCTTTCTTTTCCTTGCCTCTTGTGGGAATCGATGCCGTGTTGGGAGTTCAATGGTTGGAAACACTGGGCGTGGTTACTACTGATTGGCAGGAACTCACTATGTCATTCATGCATAAAGACAAGTCCATCACTATCACGGGAATTTCCCACAACGCCTCTAGCTTATGCGCATACACTACGGATGAGGATGCCGGGGGAGACTTGTTCTTCCTACTGTGTCTATCCAAACAGGATGGTGACTCCACTATAGCCCCAGAAATGTGGCTCTTACTTGAGCAATATCAGGACCTATTCCAGGACATCACCACTTTGCCGCCTCGTCGCGAAATTGAGCACCGGATCATTCTCAAGGCTGATGCAGAACCGGTCAATGTCCGCCCATATCGTTATGCACATTTCCAGAAAGAAGAGATTGAAAAACAGGTGCAAGAAATGCTTTCAACGGGGATCATCCAACCTAGCACGAGCCCTTATTCATCACCAGTCCTGCTGGTTAAGAAGAAGGATGGGACATGGCGTTTTTGTACAGATTACCGACAACTCAATGCCATCACGGTTAAGGATCGATTTCCCATTCCCACAATTGAAGATACCTTAGATGAGTTACATGGGGCTGCCATCTTCACTCGGCTAGATCTGCGCGCAGGATACCATCAAGTGCGAATGCATGAGACCGATATTCCTAAAACAGCTTTTCGCACTCACAATGGTCACTACGAATACTTGGTCATGCCGTTTGGTTTATGCAACGCTCCATCCACCTTCCAAGCCTTGATGAACAGTATCTTTCGGCCCTATCTCCGAAAATTCATACTCGTGTTCTTCGACGATATTCTCATTTACAGTCCTAACTGGACTGCCCACCTCAACCATGTTCGAGTCGTGTTTTCGATTTTGCAAGAGCACGGGTTCCGCCTCAAATTCTCCAAATGTGCCTTCGGTCTCACAGAGTTACTCTACTTGGGGCATATTATCTCTGCAGCAGGTGTCAAGGTTGATCCTTCCAAGATTGCTCCCATCCTACAGTGGCCGACTCCTACAACTCCAACCGAGTTGCGCGGGTTCCTAGGCTTAACCGGCTATTATCGGAGGTTCGTTCGCGAGTATGGGATCATTGCCAAACCCCTTACCAACTTACTCAAAAAGGGCAGATTTGCATGGACTACTGCCGCCACCGAAGCATTTACCCAACTCAAAACAGCCTTAACCACGACTCCCGTCCTAGTGATGCCTAATTTCCAAGTTCCTTTCGTGGTGGAAACTGATGCCTCCGGGGGTGGGATTGGGGCAGTGTTATCCCAAGATCAACGTCCCATTGCCTTCATGAGTAAGGCCTTGTCACCAACCAAGGACTCCTGGTCAATCTATGCAAAGGAAATGTTAGCCATAATCCATGCTATTCGACTGTGGCGAGCATACTTGTTGGGGCAACACTTTATTATTCTTACTGATCAGCGAAGTCTTAAACATATCCTTGACCAACGGGTGGGCACACCAGAACAACAAAAATGGGTAATCCAACTTGCTGGCTATGACTATGAAATCCGCTACCGCACCGGTGCCTCTAATCGGGTAGCAGACGCCCTTTCTCGCGTCAAGCATGACCAGGGAGTTTGCCTTGCCATCTCCACTGCTACCAGTACTCTTTGGTCCTCAATTATGGCAGAATATGCAGAAGACCCCCGCCTCAAAGACTTGGCTGATCCATCCCACGCTCTCCCTGATGGCAAGTACCACAGGCGCAATGGGTTGCTCTATTATAAAGGACGGGTGCTGGTCTCGTCTCGGTCTTCTCTTCTACAGCAACTCATCAGAGAAGCCCATTCCACTCTCATGGGTGGTCACTCGGGCACCTATCGGACCTACAAACGGCTATCTCAACTTTTCTATTGGCCAGGCATGCTTAAAGCAGTGGAACAGTTTGTGCGTGGTTGTGATGTTTGTCAACGAACCAAGACTTCCACATTAAGACCCGCCGGACTTCTTCAGCCTCTTCCATTGCCGGATCAAATCTGGGAAGACCTTTCCATTGACTTTATTAACGGACTTCCACCATCCCATGGGCACACATCCATCTTGGTGGTCGTTGACCGTCTCAGCAAGTACGCCCATTTTATTGCCCTCCGTCACCCCTATACTGCCAAGACAGTGGCTGAAACCTTCATTGCTACTATTGTTCGTCTCCATGGTATTCCCAAATCTGTACTATCCGACAGGGACCCCCTTTTCTTAAGCAACTTTTGGCAGCACTTGTTCACAGCTTCTGGCTCTACCCTCAAAAGGTCCACCGCCTATCACCCGCAAACCGATGGTCAAACGGAGGTCGTTAATCGTTGTCTCGAGCAATACCTGCGTAGTTTCGCTCATCACCAGCCTGCCAAGTGGTTCACTTTTCTTCCATGGGCAGAATACTGGTACAATACCACTTATCATAACACCACCGGCATGACACCATTTCACGCTGTATATGGACGGCCCCCTCCCCCGTTGGTTCCCTACCCACCTGGATCGTCTGTTGTTGATGAAGTGGACCAATGTTTAGTGGGCCGCGATCATCTATTGTCTCAGCTCAAAACTTCTCTTTCTGCTTCCATACAACACATGAAGGACACTGCTGATCAGCATCGCAGGGATGTCAGCTTTACTGTCGGGGATGAGGTCTACCTGAAGCTTCAACCTTATCGTCAGCATTCCATTTTCCGCCGGGCTTTTCACAAACTCAGTGCACTCTATTACGGGCCGTTCACGATTCTTGCGCGGGTGGGTGAAGTTGCCTACCGCCTTCAGCTACCTGCCAACTCCAAAATTCACCCCGTCTTCCATGTCTCCCTCCTTCGCCGCGCCGTTTCTACTCATGCCACTTCTCCGACATTGCCACCACTCAGCTCGGATGGCGTTCCTTTGCTTCAACCTATGACAGTTCTGAGCACTCGCACCATTATGCAAGGGCGTCGGCCATGCCCGCAAGTGCTCATCCAATGGCGCCATTTACCGCCGGAGGACGCGACATGGGAGGATCTCACTGTCATTCACCATCAGTTTCCTTCCTTTGACCTTGGGGACAAGGTCAGTCTTCCGGATGGGGGTATTGATACGCCGCAGCCTCGACGCAGCACACGAGAACGGCTACCAAACTCCCGGTTTTTGAACTCGAACATCTACGTCAACTGCCTACACGCATGGATGGACA